AAATCTATAATCAATAATGATTTACTGCATGTAACCAAACAACTAGCATAGAGGAGATCAAATGTGTATGCACATCACGAAGAAATTATTAAGTTTTACAGTGATAAATAGGCTAATTACTCTGAACAGATCAGCACACATTGTATATATGTATTGAAATATAACTCTGTACCCCATAAATATGTACAATCAATATGTTTTAATAAAAAAAATTTTTTTAAGGATTACAACTCTACAAAAAAAAAGGTGAAAACAAATGGTGGTATGTCCATACACAGCAACAAAAATTAATTATTAATACATATAATAACATGAAAGAATCTCAAAATACACTGATAGAAATGAGACAAAAATGAATGCATGCTGTATGATTCCATTTATAGAAAAATCTTGAAAATGAAAACAAAATAGTGACAGAAAGGAGATGGCAGCTGGGGGGGAGTAGGAGGGAGAAATTTCAAAGGGACAAGATTATGATGATGGTTTCGTGAGTGTATACATTGTCAAAACTTGTCAAAATTAACAAAACTTGTCAATTGTGAAAACAGAAAAAAGTATTGTCCAAACTTGTCAAAATTCACTTTAAACTTGTAATTTATTGTACGTCAATGATATCTTATTAAAACTCTCTTTAAAACATAGAAATGGATAAATAAACAAAACCATAAATTATTGAACTGGAAATACATATAATCTTGGCACCTCAGGCTTCAAGTGCTCTGCCCCTGCGAAACATCAGTCAGATAAAGAGAGAGGTAATGTAACCACTGGGTGGAGACAGAAGACAAGGTGAATGAAAATGTAGCCAGACCTGAGGCTGCCCTGAGTTTGCTATGTTGCTCTTCTTCTGACCTCAGGAAGAGCAGTAAAATATCTCTTGAACAGGACACCGATAGCACTAGCCATACAAGGCAAAGCTGATAAATCAAGCTTTATTAAAATTAAGAACATCTGTTATCAAAAGGTATGATTACATAAATATGTATACATACAAACATATGTTATACATATATACATACACAAAGGCATATAAAAGAATATATTTGTATAACATATTTTATATTATATATTGTTTTTATATGTTACATATTCTTATATGTACATGCATATATCATACATAAGTACATATATACGATATATACATGCACATATACACACTGACAAATATATAATGACTTATAAATATTTTTTTAATTCCTTCAAATCAATATGAGAACAATTAACAACCCCATTTTCCAAATGAGCAAAAGGATTGAATAAGTTCTTCACAGAAGAAGACATCCAAATAGCCTATAAACATATAAAAAGATGCTCAACATCATTACCCATCAGGAAAATAAAAATTAAAACAAAAAGGCATTACACTGCATACACCAGAATGGATAAAATAAAAGTCCCGAGTGCTAGTGAGGATGCAGAGCTAGTGGAACTCTCAGACATTGCTGATGGCAGTACAAATTGACTCAAACAGTTTGGCAGTATTTATAAAAACTAAAGCATAGCCTACCCTATTACCCAGCAAATTTACATCTAAGTATATACCCAAAAGAAATGTTTGCAAAGTTCAACCAAAATACATACTCAAAAATATCATAGAAGATCAAAAATATCATAAGTAGGCAAAAACTTGAAACTAACTGTTCATTAACAGGATAAACAATTGCATATTCACATAATGGAATACTATACAGCTACAAAAAATAATCTCCCCATACATGCAACAGTATAGATGAATATCACAGCCTTGATGTTGTTGAAAAGAAAACAGAAACAATAGAGTGCATGTTTATATGAATAGTGGCTAGTTCTCGGGGTGGGTGGATGAGGAAACCATCCAAAGTGGATGGAAATCGTAACGGGCTAGAAATCTTGATTCTCATTTGACTTTTAGAATAGGGTTTTTAGGTAATGCATGTATGAGGCAAAAGCCTCCCGTCAGGGAGCAAGAGCCCACAGCTAGCCAGGTAACAGCCCATCTAATCAACTCTAATCACTGCTTAGGTATGGGATTGTATACTTTAATGATTTTAGTGCTAACAGGTGGTTGTCATACCAATCCTGTTAAGAAATTTTAAAGAATTGCTGAAGGGAAAAATGTGAAAACATGTTTGCTAAGGGCAAGCTCTCTGTGGGGGGAAACTTCAGAGGCAATTACACTTAGATTTAATCATAAGAATGTATCTTTTGCTTAAATCATTTAAGGAGAGGTTGTATTTTAGATAATGATCACAGTTTGACCAACTTAGCTTTTCACAAATTGTACTTTGGAATGACACATTGTTAACTTTACAGATGTTACTAATTTCCATTGTTTAAGCTATACTTAGTCATAGATAACTTTTGTCACACTGCCCATGTCTTTGTGTCCTTTTAAAATGATTGAATCAACTGATTTTTCTTGTGAAACTTCCTTGTCTTTACAATAAAAAACAGAAGCTAACTTTGAATTGGGGCTGTACCCAGTTTTCTCCTTCTAACAGGGGAGTTGCGAAGTCTGTTCGGGCTTCTCATTGCATTCATGGTGCTTTGAGTAATCCTTTTTTGTGTAGTGTAACAGGAAATGTTTTACGTATTGATCTAGGTTGTAGTTACACAGCCATATACAAATATAAAAGTTCAGTGAGCTGTACACTTAAGATTTGTGTACACTTACTCATTTTGTTGCATAAACATGGAACAGAATCATTCAAAGGGCAAAACTAATCATTTACACAACCTTCCCTTATTTGCTAACAGAAGGAAACAGGGCAAAGTTAACATTTTCCAAACTTCCCTTTTTTCCTACAAAAAAGTTCATTAAGTCTAAATACTTCCTCAGCATCTCACTTGTCATTGCTTCTCAAAGAAATTTAACCACTAATGATGGGTTTAGACCAAAAACTTGTTCTTCTGATTATTTATATAAAACTATATTTCTCTTTAAATAATACTGTGGATTTATTAACTTATCTAGAGATCACCATTGCTTCTCCATATGCCCCATTATTAGAATGTTGTGGCTATCTACAATGCTTGAAAATTCAATAGCAATTTTCTCTCCTAGAAAGCAACTGCTCGATGCTGCCCTGATATGTGCCCCAAACAATGTACTGCTCTGTTATTTCCTCTAGACGAGTGTCATTCAATAGAAATATAATGCAAGCCATGCATTCAATTTTCTAGTATATACGTTAAAAAGCTACACAGGAAAATTAATTTTAATGACATTTTATTTAACATAATATATCCAAAATGTTATCATTTCAACTTGTAATTAATATAA